GTGCAGCACAGCCTGACAACCGGGGAGGTCATTACAGGTGCCCAGCAGAGCTCAAGTTGAGCGATGAAAGGGACCTCAGAAACGAAAGCAAAACAATTTAGACAAAGCTCTCTGGAGTTTAGGTGAGGCACAGGGAGCCGGACATGGCGGTTCCAGAGAAAGCGAGAGTGCTCTATGAGGAAGAGATTTAACTTGGCCAGACACCCGGGAACTACCGATGTCTCCTTCCCCGGGAGCTAGCAGAGCAGTGAGGAGTGGAGAGTCAGGTCAGGAGCGCTGAGCCTCTTCCCTTGTGCCAGCGGGGGAAGGGAGAGGAAAGAAGTACCCGAGTCACCTGGAAGCAAGGGGTCAAGAAGGGAAAAGTTTCTTTTGATTACTTCTATTGCCTTGGGAAGCAAAGTAAGAGATTGCTGGAGGAAGAGGACATTTACATGTTACCTTATGTGTGTGTTGCTTTGACTTTTGAAGCCAAAGGACAGTAGGCTGAGTAGCCTGATTCTCAAAGCCATGTTGAGTTCCATCTTCTGAGAAAAGCTCTAATTAGATACAACTACTGCCTTTCGGTGAGTAATTTGTAAAGGAACCTCAAGTGCCAAAGTTAAAATAAGACATGAGGCACCAGGGATATAGCTCAGCAGCGCAGTACATGCTAGGCAAATGTAAGCTCCTGAGTTTGATTCCCAGTACCGCCCCCCGCCAAAAAAAACCCCACAAAATAAGACGTGAGTATAACTGTTATTATCAAAACCAGGATTAGTACTGGGATATCACATTTATCATTGTCATTGCTTTCAATACCATCAAAACTCATCTTCAAAAATTTCCCAAGGTTCTCAAGACTCTAGAAAGCTTTAGAGCTTATTTAAGCTTTAGAAAGCTTAATTTTCTCTCTTCTTTCCTCTAGGTAGTTTCTTTTTTCTCCCTATATTTTGCTTTAAAACAAACAAAAAGAAAATCTCACCAGTTATATTTTCTCCCATCCTAGTTTCAACAGGAAAGGCCATTTATACATTGAATACTTTATAATCTACACAGAAGTCTGAGTGTAGTGGTGCATGCCTGTAATCCCAGCATTGGGGAGGATGAAAACAGGACAATCACTATGAGCCCAAGCTGTGTAGTGAGACCCTGTACAAAATACATTTTTTTAAAAATCACCTTTATAATCTACACAGAGCTGTCATGCATTCTGATTAGAGCCTACAGTCACTCTATGAATTAACAAAAGAAGGCACTTTGTTTTTCAGTCTACAGATAAGGACACTGCTATGGTTTAAGGATATCTGCTTCAGGGTTCAAGTGTTGGGAGCCCGGTCCTCAGTATGGTGGTGGTGGGAGGTGGTGTCGAACCTTTAAGAGGTAACAGCCAGTGAGAAACGAGCCACCGAGGTGCTGCTCTCAGGAGGAACTGATGTAGCTTTAGAGGAGCCCCGTGAATCTGCTGGAGAAGGTTGCTCTAAAAGTGCAGGGCTAGACACGCTCCAGTTCCCCTGACTCCCTGTCCTTCCGTGTGGTCTCTCCCAACTCACACACACCTGTCATTATGAAGGGGTCTGCTATGAAGCCCTCACCTCAGCTGAACTGAGGCCAGCATTATTATTTTTAATTTTTTAAATCTTTTTATTTTATTTATATATTTGGTACAGGGTCTCTTTACACGGCTCAGACTCATAGCGATCCTTCTGTCTCAGCCTCTCCAGTGCTGAGATTAAAGGTGTGTGCCACCATGCCCAGTTTTGGTGGCCGACACAGAGCACCCAGGAATCCAGGGTCAGGGTGGCATGAGGTACCTGGGATCCAACCCTGGTCCTTGTACTTGCCAGGCAGGTGCTTAGACTGCTGCGCTATCTCCTCAGTCCTGTTGCCAGCATTATGTCCTTAAACCTTCAAGCCAAAGAGCAAACAAACCTCATTTCTTTATTCATTACCTAGCTTCAGGTATTTCATTATAGTAAAGATAGCAGACTAATACAGCTATATCAAGATTTAGAAAAATTAAAGACTTGACTATTCATTAGTAGAATACATAGGCTATAACCCTTGTGACTCCAAAGGCAGCTATTCTTTCCATCACATCACATAAAAGATGGCTCAAGGTCCAGTGTCAGACTAATCTTAACTCACCAATTATTTAAAGTTCAGGAGTGTATACAATTTCGATTTTTCTTTGCCTATCATTAACTGGTATCACCATCTTTCTCCTATAATAATGAACTAAATACTCTCAAAGCACACACAGGTGAGGAAGCACATACAGCTGTAATCACAAAGAAAAATAATAGGCTTCTCTCTAATGTGGCGAGCCCTAAGAATAAAGCCTTATATTCCCACTGAGCAAGCAAGAATAAAATTCTCCACTGCATCTATGAATATATTTCATTCTACTGCTATAACAAATTATCATAAATTTGATGGCTTACAACAATAGAAATATATGATCTTACAGTTCTGGTGGTCAAGAGTTCAAGTGAATCTCACTAGGCCAAAATCAAAATGTAGACAAGGCTGCCTTTCCTCTAAGGGCTCTAGGGAAGAATCCATTTCCTTGGATTTCCCATTTTCTAAACGCTGCCTGCATTCCTTGGCTCAAGACCTCTATCCAATAATTACATCACTCCAACCTCTGTCCCCACTGAAACGTCTTCTCTGACTCTCCAGCCCTCCTCTTCCTATGGCTTCCCTCCTACGAGAAACCCAAAGTATGAATGAATTACAGAGCCAAACACAAGAAAGACAAGTGGAAACAGGGGGATAAATCTTTTCAATTGGGAAGGAGACCAAGAGATGAAGGCAGGGCAAAGAGAGGGGAGAGAGGGAGGAGGGGAGACAGAAAAAGAATTATGTACAGGTTATATAAGCGCACCAACTCCCCATGATGAATGTAATCATGGGTTACAAGCACATACTAATAAAAACTAAAATTTATGAAAGGACACTTGCTTTTAATTACATCAGTCCCCAATCCCAGCTAGTTCCACCATGGCTCCAAGTAGAGGAAGAAAGAGACAAGAGCCTAGGGCTTTCTGTTGACATGAACCACTACTCCATCCCTAGTTATCTTTACTCTCTTTCATCCACAAAGCTCCCACTTTCTCTCTTTCTATATATCCCAAGAGTTGACCTGAACAGTCATAGAGCTTCAAGGTCCTTTCTTAGGTAGATTTTCATGTGTATCTTAATTATATTAGCTAATTAAGGCATCATTACACAGTCATGCCTCATTTAAAAAATCAACTTTTGTGTACAGAAAGGGCAAATCAATACACAAAACCTAATTGACAGCAACTCGGACAATATTCATGAAAACAATGACAATTTTCTTAGGCAAAGATTTCACCATATCCTGTGCTATTCTAGAATAAAGTTACTGTTTAAATTTTTATGTTCCTTAAATAACTACAGGATATGAAGGACTGCTCCTACTAATATACTAGAAATAAAAAAAACTTCATATGCTCTAAGTTTCTTACAAGGAAAAGGAAGTATAAGGCAATCAGACAATACGTTTGCAAATGCAGAGACTAAGCAGTGTTTACAAAAATCATCAGTATTTTATCACTAGCAGAAAATAACACAAATTCATAAGACAAGAAGTACTTTTTAACACATCATTTATATACCCAATGTTCTAACCACATCAAAACATGTTAAGAACTTGTTCCTTTAAAGTATGCAATTTTATTTTCTTATAAAATCTGTACTATAAACACTATAACAGATGCCAAACCATACAAATCAATCTATCTATGCAAGGTCTGAGATATTGAATAAGATCCAAAAACTGTATTTTTTTCTGCTAGGGAAAAATATTATTTATAAAATATGAATATAATTTAAGGTGCCTTCTACACCTTCAATTTAATCTTTCAGTACAGATTTATAATCCTACTACAGTGACTTGTAAACTGTATGGGATAGAATACAGTGAATTTCTGAATATGTTTCATTTCTCTGTAGTGTTCACTAATGACCACTTGACTTAGAAAAACTATTCCTTTCTGTAGAAATCTATACAACATGCCCAATTTTTATTCCTATTTTATGAAATCTTCCTGTGAAATAGAGTAAATAGAAATCACAAGTTACCACCATCAAGAGCATTTCATTTGCCTATCTCTTGTCATACTAGAACATTCCTGAGGCCAGGGCACAGAGATGCCATGCAGAAAATCATTTTTACTTGCTGAATTCATTATAAATAACACAGTGGAGGCCGGGAGAACTGATGAAGGAAGAGGAAGAATACTTTTATTTCAACAGCAGTGACAAAGGATGAAAAATAAAAGGCAGTTAAATAGAGTGATTTTAAAGTCTTTCCATTATGGCAAATTTCTTAATCTTTCTACCAACCTGTATACAGGAAGCACTTCCAAGATAACCCTTGTGAATAAAAGACATCAGAACCAAATGCCAGGCTGCCCTTACTACTCTTACCTCAGCAAGTTCATATATGAAAACCTGTACTTGCTGTTTTATAACAGCCCAAACCACTTTTAAAATTTCTTTTTGTGTGTTTTTTTTGGTTTTTGCAGTACTGGGGATTGAACTCAGGACCTTGCGCTTGCCAGGCAAGTGCTTATTCTACTGAGTTATCTCCCCAGCCCCACTTTTAAAATTTAACAGGCATTTTTTTACACTGTGAATTTTTCTTCATTTTCTTTCCTGAAAGGCAATCATTGTGTCCGTTCGAGGGCTAGCCCCTTTTCTCTGAACATTAGACAATCATCCACTCCTCTCAGCAGCAGGAAGGGGAAGTACATCCACGTGCTGTGAGAATGGCCGCCCCTTGGGCTACCTGCAAAGACAGCTACACACACAGCAGGTGCGAATGCAGCAACTCGAAAGACTTTGGGCAGATGAGGGGAAAATGCAAAGAAATTATCAGAGAAAAACACGTTTGAGGTGTTCAAAGTCATTTTCAGTAACACATAAAACCACCCAGAAAGGCAGAGATAGAGGGAAATTTATAACCAGAAAACGTGTGAAGTCACTGTACTCACCGTCTGATGGCTTCTGTCACAGAAACGCAGCCCAAAATAATCTATCTCCACAAGATTGATGTGACGGAAAACATGGTCAAGGACAATGGAACCTTTTGTTGACTTCTGCAAAAATAATTCACAGGGTTTTTTTTTTAATCAAGGTATCTTGTCCTGTGTCTCAGAAGGATACAATCATGCTTTGCATCTTTATTAACGTTCCCTCACTGTGACAGCGTTTTGATTAGACCGTGGTACCCTTTTTGGGTTTCCCTCAGTCACAAAGACAAATGTGATTTAAAGTTAAGTGTATTAAAGAAATTACTTTGGAAAATAATCCTTAAATTATAGCAGATGTTAAATTAATATAAGCTTCTTTTCTTATGGGATTATCAATTCTCTTCAGGACAAAGTTCTGTTAAACAAAGATCATCTTTCATATGAAAAATATCTAATAAATTCATCAAACACCTTTTTGGTTTAAAATTCTAGAATTCTTTTATTTTACAAAGCAATTTTCACCCTAAATCATTATTCTCACAAGGATCTAACACAAAATTAACAATAGCCAAAGCTTTTTTTTTTCAAATTTTCAAACAACCTATAGATTAAAGCCACTAAAACTGATGTTCTAACTAGCTCTTCCAAGGTATTTTACTTGCTCTTTTTCACATAAGCATAAGACATTAAAGCAAATACTTCTTTTGGCAGTTTTTAAAATCCTAGTACCTATCTCATATATTAATCTCTCTTCTTTTCCCTCCCGCTATTCACAGATTCAATTCTGTAAGATTCTCGCATAAGCAAGGCCCTGGGTTCACTTCCCAGAAAAACAACAATCAAAATAAATAAACAAAATCTTTCATCCTATATATCAAATAAAGAGTATTCACACATTGAAGAAACAACCAGCAAGTTCTGCTCTACACACCAGATGCTCCGGGAATTGGTCCACCGCCAGGCCACAGCTACACAATGTCAGGCCTTCCCTTTATCTAATGCCATACCACCACTAGGAGGTAGCAAAAAAAAAAAAAAAAAAGTCCCCAAACCATGTGTTGGGCAATAAAATTGGGCTTTTGTCCAAAGGCGTCTCCCCTCAGAGAATTACCATTATTATGTGCTTAGACATACAAGACAAGGACTCCATCCTACACCTGCAGTTAGAATCTGTACTGCTAACTCAGAGGAAATGTTTTGGTTAGATGTATTCTACAGTGTTTAATATGAGATGGGAAAGAAAGGCCCTTCAAGAAGATACTTCTTGTCACAAATCCCATAGGTAGTTTGTTTTCCTCTAGATTACATTAGAGAAATTTAATCAGTTCCTTTTTCAAAATGCATTATACAACTTATTTTAAAACAAAAACACCCTCCCATGATAGACCTTTACATTAATGGATATTTTGTGCTACAGTAACAATGCCACACATAGTAAATGTCTCTTTGTGCTCATGTAGCTGTGCCCTTCCCCTCAGTATAAATCTGGAAGTGAAAGCACTCATAACAAGCACACAATACTTAATATTACAGTGGACACTGCCAAAAAGACCATTACATTTTGTTCAGTAAAAATACACGTCCCCTTTCACTTTGCCAACACTTAGACTGAGAAAATTTTTTCAAATCTGATTAAAGGGTAAGAAAAGGATTTTTATTTGCATTTTCCTGACTCTCCTAAAAGTAAGTGCTCATTCATGCACTTACTAGCCAGCTCACCACATTTTCTAGAGTTGGGGCTGGGCATTCTCCAACCCAAAGCTTATCAGCAAATTCTCTTAGAACTTCTAATACTTGTGCAATTTCACTTATTTAGCTCTTCACTCCATCTGGAAATTATTTTTGTGTTAGGGATAAGGCCTAACTTAGTTTCCAAATGGATTGATAATTGCACTGCCATTTACTGAAAAGGCCATCATTTCCATTTTGATTTAAACACAGCTATTTCATCTGCTAACTACCCAGTCCTATCCAGTGGATTTATCCAGGAACAATACTCCCAATATTTTAATGAGTTTAACATAATTTGATATTCACTGCTCCTTTTCAGAACTGCCTGTGCCAGTTGTTAGATATGTTTTTCTACTAGAAATTTAGAATCAGCTTGCCAATTTAAATCACAATTCTGTTGGGAATCTGAAATTAAATTGAAATGACAGGCTGGGTGACTGGTGAAGAGGGGGATGATACAGTATTTGCCATGTTAAACGTGTGTATTTCTTTTTTATATACTTCAAGGAAATTTTATACTTCTTTTCACATAGGCCTCATAAAATTCTACTTAGGCTTTGTGGTAGGTGATATACAAAATGCCCTCTCAGACTGTGTGGTCTGAGTCTAGACATTCCCTCAAAGACTCATGCGGTGATACGTGGGGCTTTTCAGAGGTGGCTGGACTTAAAAGTGTGTGCGGGCCAGGAAGATGGCTCAGTAGAATAAGTGCTTCCCTGGCAAGCGCAAGGGCCTGAGTTCAATCCCTGGTTCCGTGAAAAAAATCAAACCAAAACAAAACCAAGAAAAAAAAAAAAAAAAAGAGTGTGTGATGCTGGGATTAAGGTTTATGATTACTAAATTAGCCCACCTATTGGTTTGGCATAGTTCTAAGTGTGGATATAGGGAGGGCCCACCCTGGGTGTGAATGCTGCAGGCCCTAAGGGCAAGGACCCTAAGTAGACTACAAAGGATAGAAAGATGGCTGTTTCACTTGTCACTTACTCCTTGCTGCTTTTTCCTTCTGCCTGCCACAAACTGTTCCTCTTCTGCCACAACACCCTACCCTGGAGCCAGCATATTAGGGACTGAAACCTGAGGGAACACTGAGCTACAACCAGCCTTTCCTCCTTTAATTTTGGGTATCAGGTATTTTGTCTCAGCAACACGAAAAAATAAGTAAGACCCCATCAAAGAAGTCCTGTCCCCATCTCTGGACCCGTGAATATGAAGAGTTACCATACAAGCAATTGTGTGTTATACGCCACACGGCTGACCTTCAGACAGAGAACTTATCAGGGTGGGCCTAATCTGATCACACAGGCTCCAAAAGGCAAACACTTTCTCCAGAAGAGGAAGGCAGAAAATTGATCACAGACTTCTGAGTTTGAGAAGGACTTCACCTGTCATTGGCACTTGAAACAACACAAGCCTCAAGGAGAGGGGGCACCCCCTATCTGACAGTCAGCAGGAAAAGGGAAACGCAGCCCCATTTATGAGAACGAGATTCGGCAAACTGCCTGAGAGAGGCTGCAGATTGCCGAGGGAGCAGATTCTTTCCCAGAGTCTTCAGATGAGAGACCAGCAAACCAACAGCATGACTCCAACCCTGGGGGACCCTGAGCGAGAACCCACTCTCTCAGGGAGCCATCCGTGTGGACTGCTGGCCTACAGAACTGTAGAAAGGCACAAACCAGCCTCCCCAGCACTTGACAGCTAGGCTACCAGAACAAGGACTTTCTGGACAAGAACTTTGATCTATAACCAAGCGATACAAAGATGTTCAGAAGTTTTTCAGGGCAGGAGCTCCCAGTGATAGGCCAGCAGCCAGAAGCAGAAGCACCTAGCTGTGAACTCAGGTGAGGACTGACATCTGATTCTGTGTAGGATTTTCTTGCATCCTTGAGGTAGTCAACAGGAACAGACAGACAGCCTAGTCCCTGCCTTCCCCTGCCCGATGATAGCAGTGATGTTTGGCCCTAGAGCCATACCAGTGTCCCAAATAAAACTCCTAAATAAGAACAAAAAATGGAGACCAATCGTATAATAAAAATCAGTATAAACTATTTATTCTACAAATATGAGTACATTATCAGGGTTTTTTTTTTTTTTAAATGTATTTAGTACAGGATCTACACAGTCTCACTACACAGATTGGACTCATAGTGGTCCTCCTGTTTTCAGCCTGCCAAGCACGGGAATTGTAGGCATGCGCCACCATGCCCAGTCTCATTCATCATCTCAGTGCGCCCTGGGGGCAGGGCTGGCATGACACGCTAGGGATAAAACCCAGGCTGCTGCTCTCTGCCTGAGTAGGTGCTTTAGTCAGCTGAGCTCTCTGGCTGGCCCTAGACAGGGTTCTTAAAGCTGATTTCTAATTAAAGTCACTATAAAAATAACTCATTAGAAAGACAGCATGTATCACATGCCTAAAGACATCACTCTAGCATTAGCTAGCCTTTTCGTGATCTCATTTATCCACAGCCACTAGGCCTGCAGCACTCCTTAATCCATCACTATCCCTTCCCATAATTCTTCTGCCCATGCTTAGGTTACAGCAAGGAGTTTCACCCTCAATCATGTCCTATTGACTTTCAAGAATGCTTTTGTAATTTCTGACCAGCCAAGATCCAATTGTATTATTTTCTAAGCTGCTGTGTAAAATGCACTGACATCTTTCCTGATACTTCAAACTATTGCTGGAAGGCTGAGTAGAATCCTCTATTTCGACCTCACCTCTCCTATAGTCCCATCTCCTATCCAGGCACAGACAGAACAAGTGAAATAACAGAGCAGGTACTGCTACATCACCCTTAATTCTTCTATTTCAAGCAAGTAAATAAGTGGTTCAGAACAAAGGAGAAAGGAATTACGCACAAAATTATGGCAATGAAATGGTATAGATTCTTAAGACACATGTAAATCACAGCTTCTTTATGAAAGCCATTATGTCCCCATGTCCACAGAAATGTTAGGGTATTTTTATACGTGTAAAGTATGAAAAGGACCTAACAGTCTACCCATGAAGAATATATATAAAAGCAAGGTTAGGATCATTTAGAATAAAACCAGTTCAATAATTTAGAAAGCATGTGAAAACTGAAAATAAAGGTCATGAGTAGAAGAAAATCACCATTTTCTAAAACAATCATTCCAAAATTGCCAGAATATGGTCTGCTAATTCTCTATGATGTTTTACATGTATATAGAATCTAGTGGTGAAATGCTTTACAAATATTACCCTTTCACAGTTTGTTATCCATTAAAAAAAAAAAAAAAAAAGCCACAAGGAAAATATCCAAAGTTATGCGATGAATCCAGTGCTGATCTAAGACAGAACATGATGTCTCCGGATTCCCTCCACAGGCTGCTACCCAGCACGGGTGTGTTTACATGTGCACTGGGTGCAAAGCCAA